CCAGTTCAGAAGGTGTTATTTCAATATAGGGTGGGGTTTTTCAGTCTAAGACACTTTTTTTTCATGTTTTGATAGTACTACTGAAGCAAAAGATGCTTCAACACCACTCGGCTTGGTATTATCACTGTGAGGCAACACAGAACTTAGCAAGTATTTTTTAAAGATATAATAAACACTGACGTGACTGCTTAGTGTCCAAGTATCAGAGAAGGATTTTTCAGTGGGGGTGAATCGTTTATGTGTCCTTTTCCTGATATATACAGGATAACTAAATAATGTGCTGGAATAATAAACGCAAAGAAGTTGGGCTTATGTTTGCCTGTTGCAATAAGGAAGTTGGATTTTCTTTTGGTACCTAATCCATATTAGGTGCACTGAGGTTTGAGAAGGGATTTGTATTCAACAGCATGGATCAGAGTGAGTTTGAAGGTGTGGGGCTATCCCAGTCCAGTAGGCTCATGCAGGAGAGAGAAGGGGGATTCATGATGCCAGTGACTACGTGAATAACATCAGTGTCATGCTGCGTGTAAATTGTACTGCCAGGCATGTTTTGGTCCTTTTGCCTAATTCTCCCAGTGCTCGTTGTCTTACGCTGAGTTATGTCGAATTACGATATGTGTGAGTTATGTTGAGTTACGTATGAGTTATGTTATGTTGAGCTACATTAGGTATGAGTTATGTTGAGTTACATATGAGTTATACTGAGTTATGTTATGTGTGAGCTATGTTGAGTTACTTATGAGTTATACTGAGTTGAGTTATGTACACATCTGTGTTACTCAGCATGAGAACCGCTTTCCCTCCACCCTTCAGTGTGATTCTGGGGAACTCTCTGATAAAAGATTTTTGTGAGCAGACCTCTCCCAGGCTGCGAGCCCCGGGGTGCAGGCTTTTCCCACCTGGTTTCAGCCACTGTCAGAGGTGTCCCTCCTTCTTTTGCTACCTCCCAGGTGTCCTCCTCTGTGGCAACGCTGCCAGAATTGGAATCTGTGGCAATGCAGGAGCTGGGTCTGCCCATTGCTCTCCAGCCCTTCCAGCTGCAGCTGAATTTCCAGATATGCCCTGCCCTCTTGTGGTATGCTGCTGGCCTAATCACGCCTCGTTTCTTGCTGGTCCTACACCTCTGGAAAATAAATGCCTGGTGACTCCACAAAGCTGCAGCTGGAAGGGATGGGGTGGCAATGTGCAAACACGCGGCAGGCAGCTGGGTTTTGGCAAGCGCTGTGCTGCACCCCACTTCTATGCTCCTGCCCCACATCGCCTCCATCAGCAGCGTCACGCCCCACAACCTAAAATCACCAATGTGGTTTGCCACAGACAGAACCAAAAATAAAAGGCATATTACAGTTTCGCCATCTGTTACACACCTCCTAGAGTCCTGCCCTTGGAGAGGTCTTCTCATCCAGAGCCTGCAGGCAGGGATAGGGGATACCTGAGAAATTTCCTAATGTCAGCCCTTTCAGCTCTAAGTGCAGCATTTGGCCTCTCTTTCAGACTCTTAATGCAGACAAGTAGTTCCTGTTTTAATTTTTGACCTTCCCCTTCAATAATTGTTCTAGTCCCTTTAATACAGTTTGCTCCTTCCCAAGGGTAAATGAAGGGTTGGACTCTTGAGCGAGCTGGGCAGAGGGAGGTGAGGAACCCACATTTCTGCGCATCCTGTCCCCGTTCCTCCTGACTGACGTTAGACCTCCCAGTGCAACGCGCAACGAAAACCAAGCCTGTGGTGGGCTCAGCCTATACCTTTCCAGACAAGCCAACAGTTTCCCCAAGTTATATCATTACTTTCCTTTCCTAAGCATTTTCAGGTGGTCAGGAAAAAAATCCATCTTTTCATCTGACAGTCATACATGTCTTTCTGCTTATTTCTCTGTCTGATTTATTCTATTTTTTGGCTACCTTGCTTGGGTTTACTTTCTTCCTTGCAACTTTGCCCAGTGGATTTGTCTCACCACTCCAGGATTTCATTTGACCCAACTGTAGGATTTCTTTTATTTTCCCCCTTCCTCCATCCCTTTCTGTAGCTTTGTATTGCAGCCTTGGCCTCCTCACCCTGCTGTAGGGCCACACTGCCCTGCTCGTATCAAAAGACAGCAATTTTCATTGCTTTCTGATTTCAGCATACTAAAGGAGGACTTAACGTGTAGACCCAAGTAACCACCCAGGTAATTGGGGCCACCCGAGGCAGGACAGCACAGAGGGCAACCCTTTGCTTCTTCCAGGCCTGGGATAGCTTGGCTGGAGATATCCGAGTGTATTTCTGTTTAGATGAGTATTTAACAGCAGCGTCACTGGTCCCTGAGTGGGGAGTTGGTAATCACTCTTCTCATAGAAGACATGAGAAAGCAACAGTCACTTAAATTAAGTCAATTCAGGCCCAGAGTAATACATATAAATAAATATACACACACTGTGTGTCACCATGAGGGCTGAGCTGGGAAGACAGAAAAGCTGGGAATTATCTAAATTATACTGTGCTCTTGTCTGACTTACAGAGGTGTTCAACAAGTCTATAAAAAAAAACAAACAAACAACAAAACAAAACAAAAAAACACTGAAGTTTTAGAGACTAGTTTTTTCTACAAACAATTTTTTCAAAATTTCACCATCGAAGAAAATCCATCTTGGTTGGCTAAACTGGGAGCAGCCACTGATGAATGATGTCTCACTACATGAGTGATGCAGACAGCCCCAAATCTTTGGTCTCTGAGAAATCCAACATATTCAACAATCAGGATGCACTGGCTTTAGTTTTGTCAAAAGCTAAACCCCAAATTATTTGCAAGTTATCTGTGGCTGAGGCCTCTGTAGACTAAAATAAAATTCTGGGAGCTGCTCTGAGGCTGTTCTTCCACTGCAGCGCTCTGAGTACCAGCACAAGCCTTCCCTTTCCTAATTTCCATTCATTAGCCAAGGAAGAGATGATTCTGTGAGAGTATGAGGCATACCCAGACTGCAGAAAGAACTATGAATTATTCTGCCCCCGCTTTTGATAGTAAATTACAGTGCTGTGTTTTCCTTGGGGAAGATGTCCTGTGCAGCAGCTTTGCAGTGCCAACACTGCCATGCAGTAAGTTATTACCCCAGCAGCTGCTACTTCAGTAACTAAACAGCAGTTTTAAAGCTCTTAGCATTGTCTTTTCAGGATTTTTCCTCTAGATCTTCCATGCCTGATCCCCACAGACAAATGAGTGAGCGGGTGGGGAGGCAGGGAATGGGGAGCTTTACAGTGTGTGGGATCCTGCCACTGGGTTGGGGGTTCAAACTGAAGATGAAAGGTATGACTCTTCTGTGGGGAGGGAGCTGGGTACCAGCTACACTCACATCATCCGTTGGGGTTTGTTTCTCCAGGGACTGGAGCTGATGAACCAGTCACATCATGGGCTTGGAACTTCTCACTCCTGTGAGCATCAGAGGAGTCAAAATGCAGTCAGCGTGATACAGAGGTACGCGTAAATCTTACCCCCCCTCCCTGCAGTTATCATTGCAGAAAAGCACATTTAGGAGGGTGATACCAGGAGAAGGCAGATGGACACCCAGGGAGCCCAGTGTCCCCAGTGCCCCTGTGCCCTGGCACAGCTGGGGGGTGCGAGCATCCCCCGCCCCTGCCCACCCATCTGTGGAGGCACCAACACACCTAAACCTGGTTGAAGGGGCAGCTTTTACACCAAGCAAACGGTTGCTCAGAAATGACGAGGGTGAGGGACATAAAGTGTGTCTTTCCTCTCAAATGTGATACATTGATAACTGTTCGTGTCTCTTCCAAACCCTATTTTCTGCTAATTGTGGCTTAATATGTACACAGCAGGCCTCTAATTTTCAATGGCAGCTTTCAGCCTGGCAGTCCATTAAGCCCCTGCCACGCTGGCAATCATTTTAAGGGCCTTTCTATTGATTGAGGCAGCTGGCAGAGTTTTCACGGAAGCTGTGACTTAAAAGCCAGGGTCCCCAGCAGGACACTGCTGAAATCAGTGGAGGTGAGCATCTCCCTGGCCTCAGCTGCTGATGACATCTTTCCCTTGATGCAAGCAGAGAGCTGGTACGGGCAGAAGTGTGGACCAAAGCCCTTAGAGGCATGTCTGCAAACTGGGATTCCCAGGTCACCACCTGAAAGCAGTTGGCAGCTGCTCTGAGCTGGCTGCTTATTAATAACTAAAAGTTCTACTAGAATAACACGACCCAACAAATTCCCTTGGTGCAGAGGCAAGTGTTTCATGATGGCCTGTGCTGGTGCTGTGGGGTACTGCAGTGCACGCAGGACCCCACGGCAGCTCCCCAGGGGGGACCACAAGGATGAGGTTGTGGCAAGGTGGGGGTCGGTCTCTTTTCCCAGGTAACAAGCGATAGGATGAGAGGAAATGGCCTCAAGTTGCACAAGGGGAGATTTTGATTGGATATTAGGAAAAAATTCTTCACTGAAAGGGTTGTCAAGCACTGGAACAGGCTGCCCAGGGAAGTGGTGGAGTCACCATCACTGGGGTTAATTTAAAGGTGTGTAGATGTGGTGCTTAGGGACATGGTTTAGTGGTGGCCTTGGCAGTGTTAGGTTAATGGTTGGACTTGATCTTAAAGGTGTTTTCCAACCTATACAGATAGAACCGTATAGTTCAATGATGCTGGGGCTGTGTGGAGTCAGTTCTTCTCTGTAGGGTCCCCAACTCCTGGGATGAACTGGAAATTATATTCCTGTGGGCATTTGAAGAGAAGTGGAAATTATTTTTTTTCTTTTTGCACCTGCTTTTTCTATTTTTCAATGTAGAAAAAAATGCATGCGTGTCCACGGCACAAAGCATTGCCCGGGTTGACCACAAGATGGTACTACAACACAAGGATGTTTTGTTAGAAACGCTGCTCATAAAATGCCTCATTTAACATGCTTGTGTTAGGGGTATCTAGCTGGAGTAACTTTTTGTGACACTGTTGTGCCTTGTCTTTAGTTTGGCTTAGTTGGAAGATGGATTATTTTCTTGGCAGAAAGATATATTCAGAACTGGGACAACTTCACTGTTTATCTTCAGTTTATTAAGCTGAAGCATACAAGCCTGTGCACTGGACTCAACAGATAACAACATACCATTTTCCATGTCAACCAGTGCCTGTTTTTCTTAGCAGGAGATCCTTTGTTTTTACTGTGCTTCTTCCAGCCAGCTGAGATGCTTGGCCCAAACACGCAAGGTCTTACAGAAAACACATTTCACATTCTTCTGCAGTAGCAGTGAGAACATTTGGAAATTACTCTTTCCTCAGTGCCTTTGCATTCAGGAAAGCTTCGTGTTTGCCTGATTACTTTTGTTCAGCAGAGATAAGAGTAAAACCACAGTACAAGACACACATTTTCTGAGGTCTTCGCAAAGAGCCACTGCTACACCTTGGCAAACATGAAAATATATTGTCTTGATAGTAAGTCCAATTTCTTAGCAAATTACTGTTTTGGGGGTGTAGGTCAGCTCAATGCTACAGTGAATAACAACGATATTGAGTTCTTTCACAGCTAGAATTGTCAACAGAAAGGTAAAGGGAGCTGGAAGAACTTGAGGTGAGCCTTACCCTATGTAAAGATTTGCTGTAAGGCTGGAGTGAAGCCACTGAACGGCAGTGGTACACTGCTGGGTCTGACACCCAGCACTGTCACATCACTCAAGAAAATCAAATGCTATTTTATTTCATTCTGAGTCACCTGACCAATACTATTTTTACAGGCTGGACTAGGGATCAACATCCTTACCTCCAACACACTACTTTTTGATAGTTAGTCATGCCACAACCCAACAGGATAAGGTTGCAATGTGTTAAATCAAGAGATGATATTTTGGAGTTCATGAAAGAGATGAAGACATAAAAGCAGCCTCATTGGAGACTTCACTTTCAGAAGGACCACAGGCTCCTAACAGATCATCTATAGCTGTAGCCCCTTCTCTCAACTATCTGCTCTCTGTTGATCTTCTCCACGCTTGGACACATGTGGTCACCACTGTTCACCATTGTAAAGTGAACCTTCAACTTCTCTCCTTCCTCTAAGAACTAGGCAAAACCTTGATTTAGCAGGGTGCTGGGGATGATTCATCCTAAAGCAGAAATTTTGACAATTAAACGTTTTGATCTAGATTATATACATAGGCAGAGGGCAGAGAGAATCTCCCCAACCACTGGTGGACTGCATGAATCTGCAGGCAGAAATTAGAGTTCAGCACCATATGTCAGCGTGGCACAAACTAGTGTGTGAGAATTGTTCATGGAATTAATGCTCACGCTAAAAGATAATGCAGATTCATTGGCTTTTAGGGCTGGTAAGATCATGGTGGTAACTGACAACTAAATGGAAGTATCTGACCATGGCAGATGAGGTTAGCAAACATTCTGTATAGTTATCCTGACCACACAGTGTTGACTCTAATTCAGAGCTCAGCTGGCAGAAATCTTTAGTGTAAATAAACTGTTGACTGAAAAATTTACATATGCAAAGAGTGCTGAATTCATTCTGATTTTCTGATTTATGCTGCCATGATGCTTTTTTTTTGTACTGCTAAAACAGACCATTCTCACTTCTCTAACCATTTTTGGTCTGTAAGCATTTCTGAACTAGAACTAATCTGTTCTGGTTGTCTAGGACTGCTTCCCTAAATTACTTATTTTAGGCTTTCCAAACACCAGACTGAATCCTTTTTAAACAGTGCATTACCAGTTGGCAAAGGACCTAGAAATGGATTTTTCTTACCAAAAAATCTCATATGTCATCAATCATAGCCATGTGTGAAATGCTCAGGATTCATGAAGTTTTCAGCATTAATTCTCAATTTAGAAACACAGGAGGTGAATAACTTGTCCCTATGGAGGAGGATGGTGAACAGTTACCCTTAGTATTTGTAAATCCGTCAGTAAGGTGTATTGTGGGGTTGACCATAAAGGTTGAAAGGGCACATGAAGCCAATTAGAGATGATTCTTTGGGCTTTTGATACATCTTAGCTAGACACCAACTTCATTTGACCCACTCAACATGCATTCAGGGAAGAAACAATCAATTCAGCCCTTCAAAGGAAATCATCAACAGGGAGCATTTTCATTTGTCTCTTAAAAAAGTCCCGAGCTTAGGCAGACTGTGCTGGCCAGTTCCACCTGTGGGAAGACTGCAGCTGACAGTGACCCTAACCAGAGCATCTGAAATCAAATATTGAATTACTGAACGTTTATATAAAATTTACGGCCATTCTAGTCAAATAAAACACTTTTGGTTGGTCCAAAGTTTTTCCATAAGTTTCAAAATATTTTTTTCTCAAGGCTGCATATTGCAACCTCTTTAACTAGATGTAGACATCTTTCATGAAGAGAGAAACACATAGGGTACAACTAATTCATTAGGTAACACCACATCCTTTTGATGAGGATGCAAGATACTGTGCATCCTGTCCATTTATGTATTTAATAACAAGATTTCATACCGATTTTAAAATGCGTATTTCTTTGCAATGGAGAAGAGTAATTGTGTAAAACCTAACAGAAAACTCCATAAAAGCTCTCCACAGTGAGCACTGGAATTGACATCAAGCCCATTAGTGGTTTCCTGGGAAAATGTGTGAGTGATATGAATAAATGATACGCATTTGTATTTACATGAACAAAATATGGAAGACAATGGATTTGTTATACTAAACACTAAATCAGTCCTGTTGTTTAGATTTCAGTCATCCATTCTTACCTGGAATATAAAATTTTCTTTTACAAGAACTGTGGCTAGGAAAATCCATTTATCTTGAAGATATAAATTAGACTTGGAAATTTATGTAAATGCAATTATCCTTCAGCTTTGTTTCAGAATTAAGGAAACCTAAAAATCTTAGTGTGAGTGAAGACCATTTGTGAATATGCTGACAAAGAGAAACAAAATTTTATGTTGAATTCAATTAAAGATTTTAATGACTAAATGACATTGATAGTTTGAAAAAGTGAATGAATAACATATATTGAAAATGAGATTATAAGCGTAAGTGTAGGAAACTGATGCTAATTCTGTGTTGCAGCATCTTAGAGAAGGTTAAACTTCAACATCCCCATGGAGAGTGTAAGACATCATCTTTGTACTAATGCTTTTCCACTCTACACTTTTGCCTGGGTAAAAGAAGTTGTGATAAACTGATAAGATGCTTTACATTCTCAGAAGGAAAATGTGGTATAACTGTCATGAAGTGTGCTGACTGAAGGTGAGAGTCTCAGCTCATCAATTGGCTTCTCTTTGGGATGGGAAAAATGTAAATATCCACGCACAAAAATAGAATTTAAAAAAATAAAAACTCCTTTAAGCACTGTATTTGTGGCACTAAATTTACATATTATGTCCTCTTCCATAAAAAAGCATCATCAAAAAGAACTTGTGCCAGTTTTGTATTAAAAGGCCTATAGAAATCTCTTAAAATTGCCTTTGTTGTTGGTAGCATAGGTCCCAGACTTCTGTCTTCGGGTCGTCTAGTGTTCGATGCAGGACTCTTTGTAATCAGAGCTTCTTGTTTCTCACTTAGAGGTCCTGTGGAAAAATAGGATATTGTCTTAAAATATTTCATCCAAAATGTCCACGTTAAAGAAGACAAATGACTAAATCAGAAGATTTGCCAGAGGAAGACAAATGGAATTTGTGTTAGCAGAGATGATATTTCAGAATATTGAATACAGGCTTAGATTAGTAAAATAAATCACTGTTACTAAATATGGAAACAATGTGTTTTCCTTTCATGTCAATTAATCATCTCTACAACAAGTAGCATAAATCATTTCTGGAGGAAAAAAAATTGTTTTCAGAAAGCCACTATGACATCGAATATAACTTCTTGTCCATTTTGGAGTTGCAATTATTTTCTGCTGTTATTTCATTTTATGATGTCTAATACCTGGTAGAAACTCCACAGGCCTCACTCACATAAGCCCTTTTTTTGTTTGTTTTGGAGACTGTCAGTAGGATCAAAGTGCTATACAGCTATAGTGGTGTCCCTCTCACAGGGATAAATGTAAGCCCTTGACAATGTACTTCAGCAAGATAAAAACCCACAGACTTTTCCAGCATAAACCATATTCAGGAAGAAGATGCCAAGCTCTTCATCTGTTCAATCTGCTACATTCAAACTTTCTCATCATCTAGACCAGTGTCTGGACCAGCCAGACTATTTTGCAGCCACATTTTCATCCTCTTGCTACTGTCAAATCAACATTGGGCAACATTTTGTCTGCCAGCGTTTCTCCGAGGATTAGCAACAGATGTCTCAATCAACACAGCAAAAACACAATTCCCCCCTTCTCCCCAGCTAGAAACGCAACCTTTCATCATACTCAGATTTAGAGTCTGGATTGGTGCATGCTGGCACGGTAGCACTTCAATTTGTTTAAAGTGCCTGGATAGCTCTTGCACCTATGTAAGCCCATGACAAACAAGCCCTGACTGCCTTCAGAAGCAGGACTGGCTTCTACATGGTATATAGTCCTATTAAGATCTTCTAACCCCAGCCTTTCTATGGGAATTGAGGAACTTCAATTTTGCTTGACTGCAGGCAACAAGATTAATGCATCCTTCAAGACTGATTACCATGCTTCTGTTTCGGCTCGTAATAAAGCATGAAACAACCTAGAAGAAGGATAATAACAGTTTTTTGCACTTATCTCAAAAAAAGCCAGAAGATACCTACCCAGATCCAGAAACTGGAACACCATGTGCATGGTGTATTTCACATTTGATGCATGATCCTCCAAGCGAAGAACGAGTATCTGATCTTTGTCAAAAACTGTCAGCCAGTCCAAAAGATACACAACATAGAGCCCAACCTGTAACCTTACCTGTAAGCACAAAAACTCCAAAATAAATAAAAATTCATTCATCTTACAACTCTTCTAGAAGTAACAAACCAACATTCATCTCTGTCTTTTGGGCAAAAATCCCAAACACGTTCCCTTGAGGAACCATAAAAAGACAATATCTGAACATTTCTTAATCTTCCTCTTGTTTTCAGTGCAGCTTAAGGAAAACTTTGCAAATGGCCTTTCTACTGGTTAGAGATGTCCTTTTACTAAGGGGTTGGCTGTGCACTTGCTGCATTAGCCACAGGTCTGTGTAAAAGTGCTGCACAGAGACAACCATATGCAGAAGGATGCTCGGCCACCTCACCTCCATGCCCGGGATGACCCAGCCTTCATGAAGACACGGAGGGCTTTCAGCCTCTGGATGAACAGCAGCAGAAGGGAAGATGCTTACCTTGAAACCTTCTCCAGGCCCTGAGGCTGCTTAGTTCACCTTAAGCATCAGCTGCATCAGATCACACTGCCATGAGTCGTACAAATATTCTGATTCGGTGTCAGGAATTAGATCTGGGTGTATTTGCTTGTACCCTCTGAGTGCAACAGTTAGATTTAGATCTAAGCTGCAGTAACAATGGCTGCTAGACAGTGTTAGTGGTGCATTGTCTGAGCACGCAATGAGAGTGTCAGACTATGTTAGGCCAGAGATGTGAAAAGGAAGTTTTTCAGCCTGTCCTGACCTAATCTCTGTTTTTCTTCCCTCCTCAATTTTACATAACAAGTTGAAACAGAAAAAGGGTAGTCTGGTGTTCTTTAAAGTCCAACCTCCAACTGTGCTTATAAATATTTTTCTAAATCCCTTCAGGCTCAGAAGAGAGAAACATGAATCCCAAGTCATAAGTATCTTTCATAAAAGAGACTTAACATCTTCAAGTCGCATTACTGCAGAACCAATGAAGTCAGCTAACAATAGTCTTTCATTTCTTACACTGACTCATGTGACCTACACTGATACCTAAATTCCAGTAAAATAAGCCATATTTTGAATTACTGCTAAGTCATTATTATCATAACGTATGATTCTGATGTGCATCTTTGGCTGCTTGTAACAATAAGCCTCCATATTTAGCAGGCTTCTTTATGTATGTGCTACAAGAGAATTTGAAGCATCTTATTTAATTAAAACATTAGCCTAACATGCAACACTACTGGCAGGGCAGCACTCCAGCGCTTGGTCAGCGCCCCACTTCACTGAACACTGGGGCAAACGTGTGGCTCAGTGATGGGTTTTGCTTTTCCTTCTCCTGGGAGATGGAGGTAACCATCAGCTGGCTGCATGGTATTGCTTGAGGTTGTAGCACTTTCCCACAAGGGTTTCAAATCTTTTTTTTAAAGCTTTTCACCAGAAAAAAATAATTTTAACTCATATGTCCCCATAATTTTAACTAACATGTCCCTCTAATTTTCCATTTCCTTGGGATCAGCAACAACCTTTATTTTCTTCCCTATATAGTGTGTTGTACTGACTTCTTTTTCATCGCTGTTCTTCTAAACCAGATTATCTCCTTCCATAGAGCTTCAGTGCTTCCCCCTATACAACAAAGGCATCAGTAGAGTTTCCCAAGCCATCCTCCCCTTCCTAACATCCATTTCTGCACTTTCAGTTTGACTACCCTGGCTCAGTATGCCTTTCTCCAGGTAATATGCTTTTCACTGATTCTAAGTGAGAATAAGCTAACAAACACCCCTTTCTTTACAGGTTAGCATCTATCATCAGCAACAATGTCTATGACACCTCTTTTGTTTCAGGAATATATTAACAACTAGCAAAACAAAATTCTTCTGGTGCAGTAGCAATTTAATGAGCTCACTAGGGAAAATAATCCCTCCTTTTTCAATATATAGCAGACCATGCACATAACAGACTTTAGCAACTTGGCTGAAGAAGCAGCTAAAAAAGCCCATTGAGGAGCACAGTTAGCATTTGTTTTATTATGAACACCTGCTTGTGGCTCTCTGGAAAGAGGCGTCCTCTGTTTGTTTTCAAAAGTATCTTCTTCAGAGAGCTGCCTAAAACAACAAATGAAGATCGGCTCTGCACCCCGAGGATGAAGATAAGAGAAAAAAAATCTTTTCCTCTAGTTCTCTCTCTGCCTTGCTCTCCCCACACTGAAAGAAATGCATTTGTGCAAGCAGATGGTTGGAAAACACTGTGATATTGCCCAGCAGCAGTGTGTGTCTGTGGAGGTCCTGGAGGCCATCGTCAAAGACGAGCAGCTCCAGTCTACCTGCCAAGGCAAGTAAGAGGAATGCCCAGTTTGCCCTGTTGCTGCAGGGCTCAAGCCTGAGCAATACACTCTTTTATGGTTATTCTATCGAGTGGAGGAGGCAATAACTTCACCCCGGAGACAAAGGAGGGAAGTATTCCCTCTGAGCCTGAGCAAATAAAAGAGGATTGAATGGCAAACTGGCCAGACGTAATACTTCAAGTCAATCTCTTCCATATTATTCTCTCCCCTCAAGCAAAACATGAAGTCAGCTCTACACTGAAAATGTGAATTTTGGAACACTGAGCCTGTAATACTTATCCATTCCCCTGTCAGCAGTTTCTGTATTTCCTTTTATCATTTTCTGATGTACATGATTTAAAAAAAAAAAAAAAAAAAAAAAAAGAAAAAAGTTTTATCTAGTTATTGGTAGTCTTTTCTTGAGGAAGAATACATAATCTATTTTGATTTCGAGGCAATTTCGTACCACAAAGATCCTTGCCATAGCTACTTTTTGGAGAGATCTGCAAAAAGCTTACACATTAAACTGTAATCTTCACTAAATGTGCTCTCCATACACTTGCACAATAGGAAGACTGTATTATTACTGTTGGCATTCATCAGGGAACAGACTGAGGAGACAGCTGAGCCAGTACATCAGCTTTTACATGCTTACATATATATTTATGTCATCTGCTTTACAAATGAAAAGCAAGAAAGTTTTATTTCTTGCTGCTTAGTTGCACAGTATTTTGGTATTTTAATATCCTTGACACAACATACAATTAAACAAGCAAGGAATCAAATGTTCTTGGAAATACATACGGGCATGGCATTGTTCAGGGTGTTGTTGTAGACACAGGCTCTCAATGAGTAATCCAGCATGCAATTTTCAAACAGCTGCAGTGATTCTGCCACTTTTTCATGAAAATCTTCTGCAGATTTATTAGCACTTGCAAAGTACAGATAATCGGAATACAATCTGCAAATGAGATACGTGTAAGTAAATGACAGGGGAAGTGAAAAAAGATATATTTACATGACAATGGCAATCAGTTACACGAATCAAGAGAAAGCGTACATGTGTGTAACACTGCCCCACTGACAGTCTGTTCAGCCAGTGACACATTTTCTATTCATTTTGTTGAGTTTTGGCTCAGAGTAGCATCTACTCCAGGGAGTTGCTAAATGTCATCCCTTGAGAACTCGACCTAGTGTTCAAGCCAGTATTTTCTTCAGAAGGCAAATTTTTCAAATACATATATAGGTTCAATTTATGTTATCTATGAAGAGTAGAACTGGTCTCAACTGACATTGGTACCCCTCTATATTTGGTGCTCCACACTGCCATGGATAGGAACAGTCTTTATCTCAAAAGTTTAACTTGAAATCAAAACCAACAGAGGAAGGGAATGGGTTTGAGTGATTTTCATGTGATTACGAAGCTGGCCATCATCAAAAATAGGAAAAAGCCTAGATTACCTAGTTTTTGTAGAAAGTTCAACCTCCAGTGCCATATTGTTTCTGTGTTGACTCTCTGTCAAAACCTCCCAATTTACAGCATTCCACCTCTTGGTTTTTTTTTTTTTTTAAGCTAAAATACTTCAGCTAGGTGAATGGTTCACATTTGTGCTCCAGTCTGTAGTGCTGCATTCCCCAAGCAGTCCCACCTCTACTTTGAGGACAACAGGACATGGCCTCACGTGAGTTCACAGTTTACAGGCAAGCAGAGCCCCTCCCTCAGCAGCTGCTGTGAGAAAACCCATCAGCAACAGGAATTTCTCTGACTTACAGCAGAGAAGTATCCCCCCATTGCACATTTTTAGCATAAATTCTACAAGTGCTTTGTATCTCTTAAAAAAGATTATCTAAATTCAAATCCCTTTCAGGGGTGGTAGTGAAACCTACAGGCAAGGAAAATTTCTACTTTAGCATTAATCCCTGAAACCTTGGTTAAACTTTTCCAAGATAAACATGATTCAAAGAGACAAAGGAAATGCTTTGACAAGGCACAAATATCAGATCTGACAAACATGATATTCTAAGCTTCTTTCGTATTTAGCCTTAGAAACTATGAACAGAACCCCAACAATACTGCAGGATTTTGGAGACAATTTTGTAGCATTTGAGGAGTCCATTTCCTAAGTGTGTTTGCAGCACAAATATTATGCCTCCATAGCACCCACCACTTGACAAAATTCCAAAAATCCTAGGTATCTTTCAGCCTCTTTCAAAAAATACAGGTGTCTAAGAAATGTCTTAAAACAATTCATTTATTCAGGTCTCATTTTATTGTTGCAGTAACCTTTTGTATTGCACTTACTTTATTTACTTTTCAACTTCCCTAGATTTCCACAGGTACTTAAAAATTCGTCATTTAATTTAGAAAGTTTAGGCCCTTATCCAGCAAAGCACTTAAGCACAGGAATAGCTGCGCTGCACACATTATTTATGTTAGTGTTTTGCAAGAACAGGATTTTAATTCCCATATGAAACAAATGAAGACTCTTTGTTCACTGGAAAAGGAAGAAAAGGGATACATTTATTGCAGGATGCTTTAAATTAAAATTTTACATACTTTTTAAAAGAAAAATGATAGCAAACTATAGAAGATGAGGCAGAGGCACCCACTACTATGTATAGGACTCACCAACTAAGAAAGACAAAGACTCTGATTTTTGTCCAGCTCTTCCCAGTCTGTCAAGTGCACTTCAGACAGTTTTCTTTAAATGAAGAAACTCCATCTCAGAGCAGAGGGAATGTACCAGTCTTGGACCAGACTGGTCAGGCAGGCCGTTTCAAAGTGATGCCCACCAGTGCTTGAGGACCACAACCACGGCACCATGTGCATCCTCTCACTCTGCAATGGCAGACCTTGGGTCCCTCCTGCTGCACCCACCAAAGAGCCACCCCACCAGTGCAGGATACGAGGATGAGCTGGGGAAGAAGCTAAGGGACAAAGCCAGCCAACTTCAACTAAATTAGGCACACTACAGTATCTCCTGCTTACAGAAAAGTGTGTACATTAACAAGACTTGGGCTTGCCCCACTTGTCCCAGGGATGGCGGGACCAACTGCTCCTGGCAGAGCAGGTGAAAAGCTTCTTGCTGGGGGAAATCAGCCGGAAGCCATCACGTACAGCATGGGCCTGGCTGCAATTCTATTTAAAAGGTTTAATATGACTGCTTACTATTTCTAAGTTTCCTTTACAATAAATGCCTCATTTTAAGACTTGCTGACATCTTATGGAAAACTACGTTCTTGAAGACAAGTTCTCTCTCTGCAGGGCAGTTGAGATTTTCTATGTTTCTTTCCATCTGTTTTTAATTCTGGTGACATCTGCCTAGAAATAAAGCCTTTGATGATTAAGATTTCAGCTGTTCTGGCTACTTGTAGTCATTACCCTCAATCACCAGCCATTACAAATAAATGATGACACCACTGACACCCACCATCACAAACCCTGATGTCCTCCAAACATCCCCCGCTGGGAGACAGACCAGACCCTGTGCAGGTTAGATCGGACCCTGTCCCAGACACTGTGCAGCACCCACATCCTCCTGGCTACTGCAAGGCAACTGCCACACTGCCCTGCATCACCGATGGAGCTGCCCAGGCTGCCCCTTCTGCCACGGATGCTTTTGCTCCTGCAGTTCAGATGAGCTATCAGGAACAAGGGCATAGGGAATTGTAAACAAAAAGAAACCAATTTATAGTAAATACAATAAGGGAGATGAAGCTGACTTTTTATCTCACCCTTATAAAAGCTGGCAAAGAGCTACACCCACATTACAGAAGGTGGTTAAAGCAATCAGGGAATTTGTCAGTAATTTACATGAGGAAGACACTTCAGCCAGCTCTCTCGCATAAAATTACCATCTGTTAAATCCTGAGGTCAGGAGATGCCATTAAAAGTCAAGAGCTGTATTTCCTGCCATAGGAGATGGGAAACACTCTCACAGCTCTGCCTCTCGCCAGTAGCCGTGTCCTACCATGGGGGAAGCTCTTCAAGGAGCACCCATCCCCTCCCATGGCCCCGTCGCTCTGGTACGGGTACGGGATGGCTCCAGTATGGGCTGCCACCACAAGCACCCCATGCCTGCCCTTCTCCCAGTGTCCGAGCTCGCAGCAGGGCCTGGTCCCCATCATCATCTTCATCCCCTTCTCTTTCCTCAGCACTTTTCTGGGGATTTGCCCTTGAGCACTGACCTAGTCCCAAGTATCCTGAATATCACTATGGAGCTACAGAGAGAAGGAATTCACATCCTCTTCGTCTATCGTTTTGGACTCTGACTCCATCCCCTTCACTCTCTCCATTACCCTCACCATTATCATCCTCCTTCAGACTACACAGTGGAAAGAAATGCCCCAGAAAACTGGAGGAAGACTGGAGAAAGTGAAATGCAAGTGGGAAGAAGGGCATTCCAGGCTAACACAATGGAGAACCAATCAAGAACCACGCAAACCTTTGCAAAAGCAGAGACCTTTCACTGCAAACAAAGTCAGGAAGACCAAGGATGAACTCCTAAGTAGCTGTTGGCCGTGCAAGCCAAAATTGCCTCGTGAAGCTTTATATGACTGTTTCACTAAGCATTTTTAAGACTAAAAAAAGTTGGCATCATTTGCTGACTCTGGAGCTATTGGCAATCTTTTAATAATTTTTAATAGTATCTGCCTTGAAGACACAAACTGTATTATTTAACATGAATCGAAGCACTTCACAGGACCACTTATGTTGAGACCTGTAACTGCTGTGCCATACTCAGTCTAGTGAGCCCTGCTGAGAACTAGGGCATATTAGCTCAGGTAATGGAGTTATAATGCGTTTGGCAATGCATAAATTCTTTTCTTCAGAGTAGCTCAGGTGTCCGTGCATGACATTCACTGTGGCATTTATACTCACATACCTCCTTTTAAAACACTATCACAATTACATTTGCCAAAATACACAGAATAAAACTCCTTGGCAGCTCTCATCATAAACCAAGTAACTCTGTCAAATATGATGTGAACATTTATTTGCATCCAAGAGAGCAAGAGCGAATAAAATTATCATAGTAAGAAAAATTTCTTGTGTACTTTAGCAACGTGATACTTGCTCACCTTTCAACAGGGTCCCTCAGCATGATGATAAGTTTGGCATTTGGTTGGAAAGCATGGATAAAATCCTGGATTAGGAAGGGAGGTTCTCCTTCAGTACTGTTGTCATAAAAGAAAATCCAAGCATTGTTGTCCCACATTGTCGAGGCACTGGCCTCCCCTGGAAATTAAGAGCATCTTTGTATTAGAGTGCAAAAGCATTCCTTGTATTGCAGTGGAAATCAGCTGAACTTTGAAATGGTGTAGAATGATTAAAGTTTACTCTAGTAATTTCAACATATCTTGGTTCTTACAAATTGATCTGGCTAATGCTCCCCAGAGCCAGAGTAATCACAGTGCCTTGTACCGTTGTGAATGTAATGATGGCTAAGTCAGGTTTTATGTAATTCCACCTGAAATATGACCGTTCACTAACCACATTGCTTCCTGTTAGTGGTTAACACATTCAGATATATTTGACTGGGGCTGAAACGAACTGCTCAGGGGTTTGTCCCACCCTCCAGCAAGGAGGCAGGAGCTCGTCGCTGCCAAAGACCTGCCATGCTCTCTGTAGCACCCCAAGGGCTGGTTTTAATGCTCCTGATCTTGGAGCAGTAACTTGCTAACAAATTGTACAATTCAACACAAACTGAAGAACAAATCAGAAACGACCACTCCAGTGGATCAATAGTGTTTAGAACGTAAACAGGAGGGTCAGTGAGCACATGGGAAGCATTAATAAAAATGCACTAACCAGCTGCATTGTGTCACCGCAGTTTGAAATATCCCTTTTTGAGAATTATCTATTATCAGATCCTTTTTATATAACCACAATTATTCATGTAGATTAAATAAAATATAACTATTTACTACCTATTAGACAAAAGGTCTATAGAATAAATAACGCATTTGGTTAAATGCCAGATTCTGACATTCTGAGTTTCTGAAGCTTACTCTGAATGTAATGCTACAGGGAGAAACACAATCAGTAATGTCTCTGCCAGACAAGGTATGTGATGCTTCAGCTGTTAAATAAATGTTCTGATACAGTGTTTTGAAATGTGTAATCTTCCCTGTCTTCTTAAATAATACTGGCATTTATGTGGCACACTACTGTTTCATTAAACACATACAGAAGCTTTTTGGGAACTTCCACTCTTTGACAGTCTAATGAGAACTAATTATTGTTAATGAGGTTTATTGAATTGAAAGGAATGAGATGAAAAAATAATAATGTCATAGGTTTACAGACTTGCATATGATTTCCCTTTTTCTTCATTTTTTTTTAATCTTCTGGGAAAGTTCAATAAGGATTTCAAGAAATGGCCAAAACACAACATGAAAAAGGTACTGGCTCCAAACTTCGGCTTAACATAATGTGATTCATTAATAAAGTCTGGGAGTTGTTAGAAAACACATTAATCTTCTGTCATGTTCATTTTGCCTATTTTCAGAAGATCAGGTCCATTGGCTAAATTTGAGTGTCTACAACAGCTCTGCTTTTCCATTCTAAATTAATTAGCCAAAGCACTGCCTAATCGTCGGTGGGCTTTGACTTGTCAATTAAAACTCAATTAGCCCAGCTCCCACGCTGGGTGAAGCAGAAACACAAAAGACTGAATATAGGACAAGAGATAGCCATACTACAGAAACATCATGCAGCTATTTCTGTGCGATCAGAAGACTGTATAATGCAAATGGGTATGAGCACTTGCATATGTGGATTTACAGAATAGTGCACTCCAGGGATGAGAGCGACCTTGGAAAGTCACTGCTACATCTCTGTGACAGGAATGGTCAAGCTTAAACTGCTCCCTCAAAAATGTTTGCCTAAATCACGCCAAAGATTAAAGGCTATGACCTCATCAAGCCATTTATTCCTCTCTCGATTAGATTTTCTGATCTTCCTTCATACTTTTGCTCTGTAGACCTCTGATCCTATTTGGTGCTGTAGTGGGTTTATTCCGATTAGCTTATACATAGTGACAAAACCTGAGCATAAGAATATCTGCTTACACATGTGCTAATGTGCTATCTGAACTAAATAAAATCAAAGCATTTAAACATTAAATGGGCAGATTCTCTTAACATCACAGACCAGACCACTCCACATTCATTGTGGCAGCCGGATCAGCTGCCACCACCACAAATGTGCTGGCAGACCCCAAGTAAGGGAAGATCACAGGCACACAACTGAATCATGCTGAAGCATTAACAGGGACTGAAAGTGCTGCTCTAACTCAGCCAGCACAGGAGAGCCTGGGTTCGGAAAGGCATATCTTTCCATAACAAAATGACTGTCAAAAATTAAGGGGAGAGGGGGGAAATAAAAAAAAAAAACCAAAACACATCATTCTGGTTTCTGCCGACTCTTATGATATTAATTTCCTGAAGCAGCCAAACATACTCCTGACAATTTGACAGTGTTCCTTTCTGTTTTATAATACAGATTTAATATCCTCAAAGAGAACAAGCCATACTAAACATTAAATAAATTAATCACTCTCATAGCAATTATGTCAAATTACTGCAGCACAACCAAAAATATATTCATTTTCTTATGAACTTAAAGAAGATATGAATTACTAAATTGCCTGAAGAAAAAACGTATAACCTCTTTATTCAGTCATTAATGGATTAAAGTCATACTGTGTTTTCACAAGACATTCCTCTGAATTTATCCTATTAATGATCACAAATAAACAAGTCCTGCTCAGAATGCCTTAGGCTAGATCAGTGTTGTCCGCTATGGTTCATCCCTAAGCAGATGATGTTTTTTTCTGGGAAAAGGCAATTATTACCCACTAAGTATAACGTCCAGAGAAGCTGAACTCTTCAAAATAATGGAACATGATGAACTACTGAAATGTTTATAGCTTTAATTTGGTTTTTCTTTCTAGTCATCTGAAAAAAGAAAATTGAGAGTTCCAAGCAAACCTGATATTCATAAAGATTCATTTTAGACTAGCTAGCTTTGTTTTGTTTTTTAGCAAGGTCATAAAAGACTGAATTAATGAGTATAATCATTCAGGACTTTTCCTGTAAACTTAATAAGAAAAGCGAACAGAACCTTAATGAAACAAAAAATGAGACTACAGGAAAAAGAAACACAATGCGAACTCTAGAAAAAGCTGTAACAGGAGGTAAGTAATCAAAGATGTACGTTGCCAATTAGATTAGTGAATTTAATTAGTATAAGCACTTCACCCATGAAAGGACAGGAGATATTATTGTAAGTAGGAGGAAAATCTGCAGATATCCTTGATGGCAACATTTTTTAAGACCAGATCTTGCAAATTTTGCTCAATGTTGAATATTTAATAAAGCAAATTATGAACTTAAATGGAGGCTGAGGAAGTATTGAACAAATACTATAGTAAATCTCTGGTTTAAACAACATAAGACATGATCATCATCATTTCATCCAGCCAACAACAGGTTAATTTTTTTTGGTTAGAATGAGACCCCCAAAAAATTATTCTGTGGGTATTTTCTCTGAGGTCAGGCAGCAAAAATCTTGTCTCTACTTTCAGTAGAATGACTTCAGGCCTACTTGAAAAGTCTCTTTTCAACAGGGAACTGTCTTCCACACAACTAGCGTTTTCATGGAATTGTCTGGTTTCCCTGGGAAATTTTGAGGTGACAGAATAAGACTGGTAAAACTCTCTTCCTCTCAGTTTTATGGTTTTAGCAGACAGCAAAAGCAGAATTTAGAAATTTCTGCTGACATTCCTCATGGTCACTGTGTGTGATGGAAAGTAATCCACAGATCCCTCCCTAGAGCCCAGTCCTAAGCACGGTCTTCCAGAAGGTACGATATGACAGCATTTTTAAACCATTTTTGATGCTAAACAGGTAATTTAATATCAGCTGAAACAGTAAGATTATCTTCAAATAGTATCCTCCAGGTTTCATGACTGAAAAGAAATGCAGTGCAAGATAGCTTCAACTTGACACTCTAGATCCCTGCTCTTGAAACTTGCATTATCTTTGCTGTTAACAAAGCAGCTCAGGAGTTTAATCATATTTATTTCAGTCCACCATAGGCTACATAGGCATGATGACACAAAAAATGGTAGTCCTTCTTACATGTATCTTACATTGGAGCTTGAGAAGAGCTGTGTTGCTATCATGGAAACTGTCTCCAGTCATACACAGGATTTCTACAGCACCCGTTGTATGTCACAATACCACAATTAGTATGTTATCCCCAACACACTTCTACAGCACATGAACCTGCAGCTACAACCCCATCACTGCAGACAAACCCCTGGTAACGAAAACAAACCGAAAACAATGTTTGAAGGAGTCACCAAGGTCATTCTCACTATTTTTTAAAAGAAGATTTAATTATTTGCTGCTGTTCATCAGACATTTATTGCTTGCTCAGGCATTTTCTAAAGATAATCACAACTTTTTAACAAAGCAAGTAACCGTACTCCAGGAAAAGGCAAGAACTTCTGCACTATCCACACCCAGAAGAGAAAACCAACATCATGGGCCCTGTGCTGTCAGATGTTCACATCTGGGAAAATGCCCCTCTCGTGCCTCAGCTACGCACGCTGCCAACCTGGAGCTACAGAGATGTATTTCAGAGGCTGCGTTTGCCCTACCAATTATGATGTTGTTCATCTTGCCGCGCTCTCTTGCCGCTTCGCTCTGCAGCACACCCTGAATCTGATGTGCTGCTAAGTCAAACAGGTCAAGGTAATCTTCCACTGGGTAGCGATCATGAAATCCATCCCTCAGACGAATGATTCCTAAAAACAGTGAAAAGAGAGACGTTTATTTAAAAAAAAAAAAAAAACAAAACACAAAAATAATAGCAGGGCATGATTAACTACTGGTGTAAATCAAGACAGCTTCATTGACGTGGCTGGCACTGAGCCACCTAACGTCAGCACAAAATTAGACCCGTGAAGTGTAACACTCAGATAAAAGTGTCAATAATGAAGTAGCTGAGATTTGAGATACTAAACGATTAGGCCATAAATTCACAGCGATGTGAAATATCTTAAGTGTTCAGTTTCATAGTTCCTGCATGAATAGCTTGCATTTATTTTCTTCTAAATATAGCTTTTGTAAGGAATGTAAAAGACCAGATTCTGCTTTCATTTGCACCAATATGCACTGAAGTAATATCGGACTCCCACTAGATTTACTGTATCAAAATTGAGAACAGGCTCTGATGCCAAATATGCAAATCAACATGCACTTATCAAAATCAGAAAACTGGAAAAGCATTCATGTTTTTGTCTTTCACAAGTGTGAAAACAAAGTTCCATGATAGTGTCATCTTTTTCGCCCCTCCTTCCCTCCACACCAGAGTGTATTCAGCATCACCTTCTCTTTGCATTTCTCAGCATCTTGAGCCACATTTGTGATTTTTATACTCCTTTTTCCACTCTTCTTTCTAAACCTAGTCTCACTTCACTTTCTGTACATGCTCCCCATGTCCATCTTTGCATTCTTGATTCTTACCATACCACAGGAGAGTTCCTCAAGTGGGCAGTGGCCAAGGATGGTATTAGGAAGGCAACAGAGTAGGAGCAAAGATAACAGTACAGAGCAGGACTTCTCAGGTCTCCCCTTCTTATTCCTGCAAGGCCACCGATTATCAATCATGTGTGAGGAAAGCTCAGCAAGGGAGTTCTTTTGTCCATTCCCTCTGATTTTCCCCTTTAGGAAAGTGGGATTTAATGAGAGTAGAAGAAAGCTTAGCAGTGTATTTTGACTTGTTTTGAGGGGAAAAGTCCACACATGGTGCTACAGGCTGCCTTGGTTTGTTGCCACTCCAACCATGGGAATAGTATTTGTGGCTAAGAGCCAGGAAAGAGAGACAGTCAAGCTGGGACAAAGTCTTGTAGAACATCAACCATCCCAGCAGAATGGGAAAGAAGTGATTTGCGCAATGGGGCCTCCCCGGGAGGGCTGTTTATCTTCAGCTGAAATTAGTCAGTCTCATAAAAATCCACTGAATCAGATGTCATAGAACAGAGACTTTCTTGTCCAGATCAGTGTTACAACCTACACCAGCTAACAGCCAGAAGCTGTTAGAAGTCATATCCACTAGCTGGCTTATAAAGGGGGCTGTCTCAGTTTCACTAGTTAGTCTATTTGTCGTACTCTTTTTTTTTTTTTTTTTTTTTTTTTAAATAGTAACCATTAGCAAATTTACTGTTGAGGCAGAAAGGATGGACTGAACCACCAGGAGCAAACTTAATCTTCCATTCTCAGTGGCAGACAGCCTGAGATGATCGGAAGGTCATCTCTACAGATCTCCCTCCCATGAGATCACAAGCTCTGCAATCTTTCCTTATTCTTCAGCTTTACAAAATAACTTCAAAAAATTTAATTATGCAAAGAATCTTCTCTTCAAGGATCTGCACTTGGTCCCCAGTGGCTGACAAGACTGCAAGTGGAGGGTTTGTGACTGCCAGCACAGAGCTAGGAATTCAGCACAGAGATAGGAATTTATCCTTATTTTCAAATTATATGCACTCCAGCATGATTTCTTACACTCTTCTGCCTGTTTGGTAGGTCCAGTTATGAGCTTTAGTGAGTCCAGTCTTGCTTTAGTGAGGTTGGATGCACTGCCTCCTCCAACATTAATTACAAACGTTTACGTTGAGGCTAATGTAGTTGTAGAGAATTTTTTAGTATGAAGGATTTTAGCTTAACATATCAGTTTGGTTCAGCCCTTCCTGCCAGCACTCTCATGGAAGACATGATCTTCCACAGATGGTTTTGCTCACAGTCCCTGCACCTACACACCCAGAGACAAGGAGCACAGCATTCGCACTGGAAGGCATCCAAGTCTAAAATCTCCTTTCTTCACTGATCTGACTTTTCATCTTCGGGGCAGGAGGTAATTCTTATCATTTGTCTTCAGCCAGCCACTGACTGTGATGAATGAGTGCCTTCTCATGGGGCACCATGATGCTTCTCCTGTTTGAGTTTGCCTGACTCCTCCATTCACACTGGTGCCTCCAGTGTCTCCTTATCTCGACCAAATTATCTCAAAAGCAAAACTGTATTTTCGTCATACTGCTTTAACTCTTAGTTTATCATAAACATTTAGAAAATGTCTAAAATACTTATTTTAGCCACTTTCTTATGGCATTAGAAAATACAAACTCTAACAACACAACAAAATCATAAAATCCCAGCTCTGTGGCCAAGCCCTCCTCCTCACCAAGCAATGAGGAACAAAGTCCCATCTGCAGGAGCTCAGAGGTTCTCCTGGGGTCCAGGACACAGGGAAGGGAGATGGAAATGGCAACACCACATGCAGAATAAATAAAGAACCGAAGGTGTGACCCCAAAATAAAGAACAGGATCAGCACTGCAGGTTCCTGGTCCCTCAGAAAGTGTACTTTCTTGCCTTTAGTCATGGCAGTTCATTAGAAGAGATAGTCTCCCATTTCAATGAAGCTTAGAAAAGCACCAAAGGAAAGCAGTGATGCAAAGTCCTCATCAAATAATCTACTCCATCATGCTATGTTTTTCCTTTTTCCACAGGCAGTGTCTGCACTAAAGCAACAGTAAATGAGGAACAGAAGCGAAGATGTCACTGTAAAATAGCCAGTATTTTCCCCTTGGAAATAGTAGTATCACTGAAAAGCCTGTGATCTTTGATACCAAAAGTCATACAAAGTGAGAGCATACCAGCACTTAACAGCTAGATCCAACAGTGGGAAAATCCAGACCCTGGGTGGAATACAGCAAGCATTATACACAGCCATGTTTAGTGGAAGGCACTAAGCACACAGCAGAGTTAGGAATTGAAAATGGGTCTTCTGTGTCTCATCTAGTCACTAACCACAAGACTGGCCTTCCTTGGCACCCAGGAAAGAGAGAACAAGAAAGATATAAATACTTCAGATGGATAAAACGATGTGCTCAGCCCCACTGCCCTCAGACACCCTCTGAAGGTGCAATCACGAGGGGTGGATGCGTTTTGCTCCAGCAGGCCATAACCTCAACTATTCAGGTCTGCCTTCAGAGATGAAGGGTCACTTCATGAAATATTGATGTCACCCAGGAAAAGAGCATCAAAAATATGTGCAGGTTTCTTGTTGTGAGAGAGCATTCTCATGCAGAGCATCTCTACTGTTCAGTGCTTGACTAGAGCTGCAACACTAATGAAACTCCTACCACAAAGCACAGTTTTATTTATTGAACTATAAGGGCTGAATCCACCCACATTTCAAATACTGAACCATCATTCAAGAAAAACTTTGCAGAATTTTGCAATACGAAACTATCACAGCTATTCTTTAAATCTCCCATCACAACCTAATAGTTCCTCTTCCTGCTTTTACTAATTCACAGGGTTGGCTTTATCTAGTGTTTTTATTTTTCTCCTAGATTTTTCCAAACCACTGCAAATAAACCAAATGAAATGTGCATCATCTTGAAAAGTTTAGCTCAAAAACATCATTAAGCAAAAGCAGGCTGGAACCTACTGAGCAGCTATCACCTGGATTTTTCAAAACTATTAACTCCAGTGGTTTCAAGGTAAGCCAATATGGAGAAAATCCATAAACTTTACCCCAGATATATACAAGAAATGTCAAAGTTTAATAGACACAACTTGCCTGGATACCAGAGGACATGTTTACTCACCAAACCGTTTTCTTGTCCACCAGTGTGGCTCCTTGATTGCTGAGAACCGAACGTCGGGGTGCAGCCTGAGCCGGTCGTACAGGTCTGTCGTCCCACACTTAGGCTGGCCAATGATGTAGAAATGGGGCAGACAGCGCAGGCGGTAGTGTTTGTCCTTATAATGGTACAAGTGGTTCCAAAATACCTTCCTGAGGTAATCGAATATGGTCCGAAAGCGCTTTGAATACAGTGCATAGGAGTTTGTTGCATAAGGATCCGTGGTTGTGTTTCCTCTGTACTCTTCATACCAACAAGGATTCTTGCTATTTGGAAGGAATTTATTAGGAATTACTGAAAACATCTGAAACAAAGAACAACAATTTCAGTCAAGGCAGAAAAAAAATTAAAGTTATAAATTTCTAACAGCACAGTGAGAGAACACAATAGAAATACTATGTGGACATTTTTAACTCTTATTTTTTTAACTACAAATTTGATCCAAGTTATTTTTTCTGATGACAGCAGAACCAAATCCTGTACAAACAGCTGGACTGGGAAAGGAGTCCATTTAGAAATCCTTTGACTTTAAGGCCAGAAAAGACTTCAGCAATCCCCCAACTACCCTGCATCCCCAGGAATTAATTTTTAAAGTCAAACTGTAATGTAATATTCAAATCAAATTAACTTCCAGTTTTTAACTCTGAAATATAATGTTTGCAATGATCGCATTTTCAGGAAGGCACAGTTAGAAGGTAATCAGTTATCAGAAAGGCTCTTTTCTTATTTATCATTTAAGATGACTGTCAAATCTAAGTCAGAATGATCTTGTATGAGACAAGGTAAAAGTTCAATGCGATTGTACAGCTATCGGTAGACAGTCTGATTTTTTGTTTCAGATGTCAAGACCATTTATATAACCCATCTATTTTGCCCATGACTCAGAAGGATGTGATCCACCATATCAGCTTTTCAGCTGGTGTAAATCAGGAGGCTTTAGATGGTGTAAATCACTATATGAAGATCTGAGCAGTTGCATTTTTTTTAACCGCAGTATAAGATTGACCCAGAAGTCTTTAAATAAGCAGATGCACAGCAGTTTAAGACACACTTTAATTCACACTTACATGTGGCTCTTGTTTCCTCAGCTCTTCCAAATCAGGGCGCTGTCTTGTCATAAACTCTATCTTTGAAGTAATAGTGTCAATAATTAATTTAATGCTTGGATAATCCTTTACGTATGAAATATTCATTTTAGAAGGCTGGTAATGGTCTTTCATGTCACTAAGGCTTTCATTGTCCATTAAGCTTGGATTGCTAGTAAAAGCTCCGTAATGGAAGGGAGATGATATTAACAACAGGCCATGTTTGGCTCCAGTCAGTATGTAGGATGCCATCACTAGAGTCATTATAATCAGCCCAAATATTAAGCTGCATAGCTTCCCCTTCCTCAAGCAGAAAAATCCATTCCAGCTTTCCCTGTGATCAGTCCTTACTTCCAAAACTGCAAGCAACTTCATCTGCTTGCTATCGGTGTACAAAGGGATCTTACTTTCCCCTTTGCAAACAGGACACTTCTGGTTATTATGATTAGGTCCGCGGCATTTGAAACACTGTCGGTGCAAGTCATTTGGTAATAAATGTATGCAACAATTAATGCAATACCTCATATTACTACTGTTAAACTCCTGTATTAATGAGCCAAGCACAGCCATAAAAATGTTTCTGAAGCATATGAGTCATCTTCTGGAAGTCTGAAATTATTTAATTCCTTGAGTGATTCTATGACTACTCAGCAATGCAAAAGGACAGGTTCAAACCAAAATAGGTAAGAGCACTCAAAAAGTGATATATGTCACCAACAGGAAAAAAAAACAAAACAAAACAAAACAAAAAAAACCACACAAAACCAACACACAAAAATAGATGTACTGTGGATGTGGTTTCCAAGAATTTGACTCAGTAAGAGGAACGTGGCAAAGTAAGAATCAGCTACAGAGCTGTCTCAGGTTTTTCCCATTGAACAAAATGAGAAGGAAGAAAAATTGTTATGTAGAGTGAAAATATGCAAAAAATAAAAATAACACATTGTCCTCTGATTTATGATGGAATAGGCAAATATGGGCAGAAAATCCCAGGTATTCTTAAAACAAGTGGGTTCCAAACCAGACTGCTGTTATTGGAAGCTTCATCTTCCCAGAGATGGTTTCAATTTGCATTGTACAACCTAAAGAAACAAAAACATATATATAGATACACTCAGAAGAGCAGACATAATATCTACATTCACCTTCATTTAAAGCCATACATAATATCTACATTCACCTTAATTCAAAACCATAGCAAAGTAGAATCTGCCACAAGTAATTTCACAATTCTGTTTGAATGATGTCTTCTATTTGCCAAGTATATTAATTACAGCACGCACAGTATTAAACCCAGGAAGTGTTTGGCTTCAAATTCACAGCGAGCTGCCCTTTCTTTTCAATCACCCATCTGCTCATATCAGTGAACAGTTGCTACCACAGGTAACACTACGCGACTTCCCTCAGCTGCTCACTAACCTATCTGACAGATCTTAATCTGCTCTTTAAACATGGAAGCATTTTTGGACAGTGTCCAGTAACACAGGTTTAAATGTTTACACTCCATCTGTTCATGGGGACCTTAAATTAACTGTCCTGAAGTGGGGTAGGACCCTAGCTAAGAGAACAAGGCAGGGATAAGGTAACAGTCTCCTTTCAAGCATATGAGATAAAGAGCCAAGCAAAAAAACCCAAAAGCCACAAGTAAAACATTAAGCAAATTGAAGGGATTAAATTATAGACACGAGCAAAGGCTCACGACAGGATCTCTGATTTCTGGACCAAATGATTCTGGGATGAGAGTAACCACCTGCAATGCACCACAAAGCCACCAAGATACTTTTCAGCACTACTAGCCAAACACATTTTGAAAACGTAGTACTCGCTAAAGATGGCCAGATGTGTTACTGAAATGAAATGTACCATCAGTACTGCAAGTTCAAGACAAGACCCTGGATCCAGCTAATCCTCTTAATGGTGCGCACATTGGTCCTAGAGATGTCATGAAGAAAAAGCAGGAGCAGATGTCCCCTTGCAACAAGGCAGGCATCATGGGCAGGGACTTGAGCACTCGTGGGCCCCATGAAGGTCTCCATGTCCACAGAGACCAGGGGCTAAAGCGCCCTGTGGCACAGGGTATGTGCCATCCTCCTTTAAACACTTCACCACCACGGCTGGTTACAGTCAAAAAGTGACCAGAGCTTTTTCAAATATTTGTATGAAACTTTTGTCTTGGTTTGAGCACGTCCATTCTTGGCTTGCCAGGCAGCAGTCAGAGCAGAGACACTTAAAGTCAAAAACAAGCCAGCAGCTTAAGGATGGTCTTAATTAAAGCATATTTATGCATAGTTCCTCTAGATTTTCTGTTTTTGTGGTTTATTAAATACTTACTGGAACTACCCACATTTTAACTTTAAAATCAACTCTCTGTTTGGAGAAGCCAGATTATCAAATACAAAAGTTCACAGATAATATAACCTCTTCTATAAACTAGAAATATTTTTATTGTCTATGATTATCTTTCTGGGGTAACTAAAGAAAATAAATATTTTAAACTTGAAAAGAGCAAAACAAAAAAATCTGTCATAGGATGAAAAGGAAAAGAAAAAGATGGGGAAAACCTAATAGACAGTAGTAATGCATGGCTCTGACAGGTGACTTCCATTTTGGCCTTTGTCACCTGATAAAGACAGAAAGTCCCTTTAGCCCCTGGGAACAAAGATACCTTAGGGCTCCAGTGCTGTGATGCTCCTTGTCCATCCTGATGTGGATACCCATGAAAGCAGTGACCCAGTTCCCCTCTCAACACCTCCATCTCCTCAGTGTCACCCAGGACCTGGTCTGCCACAGCCCTCTTTTCAGCCCTTCTGCAGACAACCCCAGTACTAACCTGAGTAATTACCCTGAAGGCTCAATACAGTTTTAACCATACTGTGACTAAGAGGCTCAATATTGCCTCCGAAGAACAGAAAAAACACTGCCCCTTCTGTGCAAGGCCAATGAAGGGCATATGGACTCCATGCATAAAATACAACATTTCATTGCAGATAAAAGCAGCGGCTGAAAGACTTGGAAGAATTTGGGAGCATGACAGCTTTACCTGAACAGAACGGTATCTTTTTCCCAGAAGACTATGGTTGATGAAGTGCTAATTAATTAAAATTATTTTTCAGATTAAGTTAATCTGTGTTATAATTAACTTCACTAGACCAGAGAACCATCTTATTGCTTTATGGGATATCTAAAGTTCCAACATTGACTTTTACTACTTAAATGAAAATATATTTTCCAAGTCACCTTAATCAAAATATTAAATAGAAAAGAAGTTTGACAATTCAGAGTTATGAAAAATTAGTGTACTATCAGAGTAACATGAAAAAATCACCACCATAATAATTCTCATATAGGTACAGTTCTCCTAGTTTAACTACACCTCAGTAACCACATAAAAAAATTTTTTGTCATTACTTTTTGCTAGCAGCTCCCTCCTCTGGACTCACAGGAATTGCTCCTTCTCTACAAAAATCCATCTTTCCTTTTAAGGCTCAGAAATGTTTTTTTTCTGCATTGTTTCCAAACATCTTTCTTTCTTTCTTTCTTATCCTACAGCGCTCTTCATTCCACCCAAAAACTTAACTCATCCTTTTGCACCCCTTTACCTTCAGCACAAATCTTTCTGTCTGACTTTGTTCCTTGGTTCCTGAGAAACAACACAGACTTACAGATTTCTGAAGTGCATGTTTGTGTAATGTCCAATACACCAATAATGAAAATAATTTCTCATGACAATACAGTGGGTATAAAAAGCATAGTCTGATTACTCCTACAACACACCAAATCATAAAAGTATAATCATTACTAATTATGAGTCCCAGAATTTGGCTATTTTGTCTTTAGCTCTTTCAATGCTTATTTTTAATTCTTAAGAAACATTGCTATAATTCTACATAATAACTTCTAGTTCATTCCTACAAAAGTGTCCAGATCAAAGGGGGCAGTCACTTCAGATCCTGCACTAATCATCATTCTTCCAGCCACATTTTTATATGAGACAAAGTGCTTTTGTAAAATTATTTGTATTCTTGTTTTTTCTCCCACCTAACATTTCCATATTGGAGGATTTCTGCAATCAGAACAAACCGGCTGTGTCTCAAGGACTCAAGAATAATTATTTAGATAAATACTGAACAAAAGGATTGCAAAATACCTTCCCACTAACAAAAGTTCATTTCCTTAATGGGTTTATTCTACAAGTCAGATGAGGGAGACAGAAATTGTAGCATAATCATTACTGATTATATTTAAATCAAAGGGAAAGAAATCAGTGTAAGACTTCTCGAAGAAACTAGTATTACAAATTTCTCTAAAGAAATGGACCTGTGATGAGTTTGACAGAAGGTTGAATGACTAGAAAGATTAAATCAGGTTCATATGTGTAATATTAAACCCAGAAATGTTTATGTGTTCTTACACATAAAATATCCTCCCCCCCGCCAATGAATGTCCAAAAGAGAAAGAGAAGTTACAGAAAGGAGCTAAGATTTAAAGCAGGAAAAAGCTCGACGATTGTCCAACCACCGCTGACAATCCTAATGGCTGGTGAAAGGGAGGTCCTGACAAGAAGTGAAAAGTTTCCATTTTGCAAGAAAACATTTCAGGCAGCAGTAAGACATTTGAGCAAAAATTTTCAAAGAGGAAGCAAAGGAGGCAGGAGACAGAAGTACTGCCAGGACAGATTCCGACATCACCAACGGAGCTAATAAAGGAAATAATGAAAACAATAATAAAACAAAACAAACCAAAAAAAACTGTAGAAAAAATATAAGATGGAGATGAGGGCCCTCATAACAAAAGATAAGAAAAGGGAGGCGAAAAAAACACGTCTTAAAAAAGATACAGAAAGAAGACACTCTAGGTTACAGTGGTAGCTATAAAATGATCTGGTAACCAGAAGATACCCTACAGCCTCACTTCAATTAAATTTATCACGTGCTACATGTTTGTTTTCATGTAATCCTTCCACCCTGAACTCCTCCACTTTGACACTCAGAGTATCTCAATATTCTCCCAGACCTCTGCTCTCCAGCTCCTTGCTGTTTATTTTCAGAGGGACCTGTTACTATGCACTGTCTATTTAGGGAAAAAAAAAAAAAAAAAATCAAATTTATTTTCCAGCCCTCTTCTAACAGGGATCTGGAACTTGCTCAATGATGCACATTTGAACAGATTTATTTGAGATAGTCTTACAGAATCAATTAAAGACTTGTGTATTTGACATTAATTCTCAAATTTTTAAAAAGAGCCATCAGAGATACATTAATTAATACAAAGCACAGTATCTTAGAAAAAACACATAAGCTTCCCTATCCTATCTTACGTCCATTTGTATGTTAGTAAAATGTACTGGAATTTATTGAACCCTTCCCAGCTGCAGACATTTCTCATGAAACTCTGCTACAAACATTACAAACTAAAGGAAAAAACATGTTAACTACATCTTTGACAGCCGAAGAAAATGCTTTATTGGGAATCTGAAACAAGAAGGGGGGAAAAAAAAAAAAAAAAAAAAAAGAGAAATATGCTTAGCTACAGTAAAACTGAGATCTTAATCACAACAGTCATGAGGGAAAATTTAAAGTTCCACCAGCAACCATAACTCTGCCAACTTATGCATACGCACTACAACAGCCTGCTTAATTAGATGATCAGTTTGACGACCCACCACAGAGCAATATGACATATTACTCAGCTAATAGAATAGAGATGTTATTTTTTTTTTAATAACTGCTAGCTGCAGACATTCCATTTTATATCATTTTCCACTGTCATGTTCATGTAATAAAAAAGCTCAATTGTAATAAACACATAAAAGTCAGGATATAATTCCCTACTGCCACTCCCTTCTCTTTACCAAGATGTTTTTCATAAAAATTAATTCCCCAACATTTTACCATGCAATGAAGGATGCTCACCAGAAGGCCACGTTCTTTCTCCCACATAAGCAGAGTTCGTTTCCTTCATTCACCCCATGAAATCAAGACATCTACTGTATCTTTTTTGTTGTTTCTTCCATTCAGCATTTCCAGTAGTCATAACCACATACACAGACACACTTTATCCTTTTTGTATTTCAGTACTGAAA